AATGACAGAATTTTCATTTTTGGGTGAACTAACCCTTTAAGATGATTTTTAAAAAGTGCTAATGTCGCAATCAAGTTTCTAACTGTAAACAGTGCAGATGTGCGTGTCTGACCTTCATAGCAGTCGCGGACGGTGTCAAAGTAAACGTAATACTCCTCGTTAGTGAAGAATAGCAGGCTGAGCCACGAGTCGAAGGCGTAGATCGGCACGATGAAGAGGATGCGAACGATGTGCCGCTGCTCGTTAGGAGTGTTATAGTAGCGCAAGTGCATGTAGATCTGAGACACAGACACAGGCAATATGATATTAATACTTTCATGTTTATTATCATGCCTACTCACATTTTGTCATTTATTATTCTTTATTAATATGCATGCAGCATATATTGATGCTGTGTTGTACATAAAACAATCATGCCAATGAATTAAACGTGTAAACTGAGCAGAAACAGAACTTCCTGTATGTTTGTCAAACATGTGAAAAAAAGCATGTTTGTGTTTCAGTGGAGCAGGTGCCTCTTCTGTCAGCACAACTCTACATGTGTGTGTGTGTTTTACAAGTTCACATAAGCTGAACCGAATCTCACACCACACACACAATTCTGAATGCTGTTGCTATGCAACCACCTCTGCTCTCTGATGTCATGCCACCTGTTGCCAGAGCAACTGCTCATCATTATATGTCAGCTGAACCTCTATGGTACCACAGATATATTATGTAATGTGAACCTTACAATAAATATTGTAATGTACATATATGATAGATTTAGAAGTTAATGTAAAAACTGCCTTGTTCAATTTACATGTTTACATTAAAAAATTAAGCGTTGTATATATACACATGCACATATATAATACACATACTGTATATATATATATATATATATATATATATATAGAAATAGAAAGTCATGTAATAAATTATATGTATTGGTATTTACTGTAATATATTAATATTATATGTTACACATTTACATTTATACATTATAAAATATATTAATACATGCTTGGACCTTATGAAATTCAATATTATAATTAAATCAATATATATTTCATATTAATATATACATGCAAAAACAAGTAATAATAAATTATATTAGTATTTACTACAATAGTAACAGTATTATGCATTTACATATAAAATATAATAAAATATTTGTTTTATTTAAACAAAAGAAAACACATACTTTGACCTTATGAAACATGATTAAATACATAATATAATAAATAACCGCTTAAAAGGTATAAGCTTGCAGATTTCAAACCAGCCTTGTTAAAAAAAGTCAGCATTATATAGAAATATACAAATAAATGTGTTGCCTGCCCTGAGATGTTCACATTTATTTATCATCTACAGTAAT